ATGACCATGTGATATTTCAGTTTTTCCTTTTTTAATAAATTTGCAAAGATTTCTACATTTCTGTTTTTTTCTGTCAAGTTGGGGTGCTGAGTGTACATTAATGAGAAATAAAATGAACTTTTTTGATTTTAGCAAATGGCTGCAATGAAACAGAGTGAAAAATTTAAAGGGGTCTGAATACTTTCCGTACCCACTGTATGTGTGTGTGTGTGTGTGTATATGTGTGTATATATATATATAAATAAATAAAACTATGTAGGATTTAAAATTTGCTCTATATTACAAATATAGAGCATATCTCTTGACTCCATATGGCTCTCAAAACGGCAGCGGCTGAGCTGCCATACATTTAACAGCACAAACGATGGCAAGAGTGCCGACTGAGCTACAGGTGTCTTATCCGAATCCCTGTGGAACTTCATGCGTGAGGGCGCAACTTTGCAAATATGCAGAGTTGGTAACTTGTGTGTCTTGTGTTTTCAGTGACTGGAGCCGAGTACGAGGCCATGCTCACAGAGATCATGTCGATGGGTTACGAAAGGGAGAGAGTGGTGGCTGCACTACGGGCCAGTTTCAACAACCCCCATAGAGCTGTGGAGTACCTTCTCACTGTGAGTCTGTCTGAAACGTACCTCTGGTTTAACATCACACAAAGGTAGTAATGTTTTATACACTTCACTTCTGTGTGCAGCAGTTGTGCCTACTGACCATCACGTTATCCACTTGTAATTTAAGATATTAGATGCTAAACTACACCAGACATAGCCTCAGCCCTGCTGTCTCCAGCACTCTCATCTCAGAGGTCTCCTCAAGCACCAGCTGCCACTACTCAGCTTCGTCCAGTCGCTGCTTCTACACAGTCTGGAAAAGTTTTCAGGAAACACAAGACACACCGTTTCCTGAATCAGTTGTAGTAAAATCTCTCTGAGTGAAGAATGTCCTCCACACGGCTGTCAATCTGAGCCGGGGGGCTAGGAGGTAACAGTGCTAACAGCGCAAACCGGGGTGTGAGCGCAGTGCAGAGCAGCAGCCATTAAGCTAGCCAGCGGGACACACTACTGCACACGCAGTGACCAAAGCACAGAGAAGCTCTGATTTGAACACACACAGAGGTTGAGTGAGTTGTAATTATCAACTACCAGCTGACCTCCATGGCCCCCGCACTATTGTGATCTATCTCCATGTTCTTTGGCACAAGCAGTGTGTTAATGTGTGATTGACTGTTGTGTTGTTGTGTTTCCAGGGTATCCCCAGCAGCCCGGTCCAGGAGAGTAATCCCCCAGCGCAGGCCCCCGCGTCTGGACCCACAGAAGCCCCATCTCTAGCAGAGGGTGAGGCACACGACCGTTTGTGTATAAAAAAACAAAAAACCCATCGTACTGCTGGGCTATTAGTCATAGTGGACTTAAAAACGTCCTCCCATATTGTTACATGTGACTGCTGAAGGCCTGGACGCATTTACAGATAACTACAGTTAATAATGGCAAAGCCTCACTGGCAGGCTGAGGATGACTCATCATATGATGAGTCATGCTCTCAGAATGTGTAAATTGTTGTTGGACTTGTTGGTTGCAACCGTTTTGTTTCTTCACACTGCAGAGAAGAGTTGTGGCTCATGGTCTCTCTGAGGGGATAAAGGTTGATTAGGACTACAGCTGATCTGTCGATCAATTGATGAGTCGATCAAAAGACAATTATTATTATCATATCAATTAGTTGTTTATTTTTTAAAGCGGATTGGCCAAATAATTGATGGTTCTAATGTAAAATAATTCTCAACTTTTCTCTTCTAACAATTTTAAATTGAATATATAAAAAACAATGCTAAAGATGAATCAAGAAAATGTGTATACATATGTGTTATGTCGTGCACATGCTCATTACAATAGAGGAAAAATCGATTTAACTTGCTCCAAACAACAAAAACAATTTGCATCCAGCTCAGTGTGGCCTTGAATCTTGAGTCAAAACATGAAATGGCAAAAAAACATTTTGCAAAATGATGAGGAAGGCATGCATGTGTCTGAATTGTTCTGCGTGTAATTGATTTACTTTGCAATGGTCCTAATGGTTGTTAATTTTGTATGCTTTTTAAAGGAGAGAACCCACTGGCATTCCTGCGGACCCAGCCCCAGTTTCTGCACATGAGAACGGCCATCCAGCAGAACCCCACTCTGCTACCAGCTCTACTCCAGCAACTAGGTCGAGAGAACCCTCAACTTCTACAGGTACCGCAGTCCGCACTCGCGCTGAGAGGTTTTCCTTTGCTGGATCTCTGGTTCACACGTGTCCGATATTAACCGCTACCTCTCACTTCTCTTGCCCTCCCAGCAAATCAGTCAACATCAGGAGCTGTTCATCCAGATGTTGAACGAGCCAGTGGGAGAGGGGGGAGAGGGGGGAGAGGCGCCAGAAGTTGGAGAGTTGGGGGCAGCAGGGGAGGAGGGCGCACCTGTTAACTATATCCAGGTTACACCTCAGGAGAAGGAAGCCATCGAAAGGGTGAATATTAAAAATGTTTTTTGAATTGTTGGATGAGAAATGAAAGGTTGCAGATCCTGTTGTTTTTAACGCAGTTGTTCCTTCTCTTCACCGCTCTGTGTCTACAGTTAAAAGCGTTGGGTTTCCCCGAGGCTCTGGTGATCCAGGCCTACTTCGCCTGCGAGAAGAACGAGAACCTGGCCGCCAACTTTCTCCTCAACCAGGGGCTGGAAGATGACTGAGCGGCGCTGCCTTCCTGCTCCTCCCTCCTACCCTTCCCCTCTTCAGCTCAGCATAAAAAAAAGACTGCACCCCCAATTTTATTGTACAGCTACCAACCTCGGCTCAGGAGGGGAGGAGAGGGGAGAGCCAGCAGGGGGGTGCGGGTGGGGGGGTGGGAAGGGGCGTGGCGGCAGCAGGGTCACACGCTTAAAAGTACACAAAGAGGTCGGGGAGTAAACGTGTGGAGGAATGACAAAACCCATGTGAATTCCAATGGAATGTGTGGGCTGTGTCTTGGGGAGATCTATAATTTGATTTTAGACATGCGCTTTGTGACATAAGGGAGGGGGGTGGGGGGGTTGCGACAAGGGGGGGTGTGTGTGTGTGTGTGTGTGTGTGTGCGCGCGCGCGCGCGCGTGCGTGTGTGAGTACGTGTGTGCGCGCGCGCGCGTGCGTGTGTGAGTACATGTCCGTGTGCCTGTGCAGATGGATGCGATACAGTCGAGCTGAAAAAGTAATCAATTTTGCATTCTCTTGAGTTTAACGCAGTAGCTGGATCGTATGGAAGCACATTCTCCTCACTGCGACATCATTATCAGTGTGTGTAACTGCTTGTAAGTAAGCCTCATGTACGGACGTCCAAGAGCGGGGTTTGGCAGAGATGGACTGGACCGTGCTGCACCTATGTATGTGTCTGACATGATGTTGCTGGGGGGGGTGGCTCTATCAGTCTGTTTGGGGGGGGGTGTAAAGGAAACTAAACTGACAAAGAAGTATCTGGTTGTTCTGTTGACTTTGTCCCGCCCTCATCTGTCCTTCATGGTGGCTGCACAGGTGACAGTCCCTACAACATGCTGTGCCTGCCTGTTTAGGTTACTCAAATGTGGAACTATTTTTGTCTGTGCCGATAGCTTTTGGTGCTAATTAACACTATCTGTAAGAATCTGCTGTGCCACTTAACATATGATTTAAACAAACGCACACAATAGAGGTAGAAATTTGAGCAGACACTGGTCGCCAGGGGGAGGTAGTTTTTACAGCCTTATTCAGTCAAATTCTTGTCAACTTTAGTGGTCGGTTGATGTTATTTCTAACATCTTTTCCCGTTTACCAAATTGGTTTATTTTATCAGGACGGCCCACACTCTTAACGGTTTGTCTTTTAGTTTGTTAGCATTCGACCACATGTGGGAAGACGATTTAACCAAAATGATTAAATATCCACACTCTTAAGTTGTTATGTGCAAATATTTGCCGATGAATCTGTGTGCACTGATGGGTGAGGTCTAAACCGTCTGCATGGGGTTTTCAACAGGGTCGCGTGATTGAGTCATCAGGACCGTGCAACTTATTATTTTTCTCTAGGGCAACACATGTTGCAACAGATGTGTTCAGAATAAACAACTTTATGCAGTTATATTGTACTAACATGTCTAGGCGGTCTAGAAAAGCCTTTTTCTTGCCTTGTAACATCGCTTTCAGACAAACACACACTTCAGGGAAAGAAATGGGAACCAGGTCCTCTAAATCTAAAACTACTTTTAAAGTGTAGTTTTTATCTTAATCTGGGGAAACTGGTCTAAATCTAAACCATTTAATTTGATTGAATCTGAGTTCTAAAAAAAGCTTAGATTGGGTGGGGGGGGGGGGCTCGTTATTTTGGAGTTACAAATAGCTAAGGCTGTATAAGAATATTTAAAGTATATTTGGCATTCATTTATTACAAGAACCACGCTACTTTGTCTCAATATTTTACTTTTACTCAAATGTGCATCGACGAGTTTAACTAGCCCGACTGAAAGAGACCTGTTTTTATCTTGAATATAAATATGGACACTAATGCAGCGAAGCTCATTTTACATTTAAAGGCCTCATAGCGTACCAAGGCTAAACTACACGCACAACGGACAGTGAGAAGACATTGTTCAGGGATTTGCAGCTCATATCCGACTCAGTAAACCCTATTATGAAGCTGCTTATGATAAACTCATCGGTTCTCATCTCAATGTGGGACCATGATCAGACATCTAAAAGAAAAGCCTAAATGTCTCCAGTCTCATTCTGTCTGATAAGGTCATGTTTTACTGTTCTACAGCATCAACATGATCTACGACTGCTGCGCTACAGTCAATATCTTCAAATGTCTTTTAGGACTTTCACTCTTTGTTTTGTAGATTCAGATGATGCTAATGTGGGTCAACAGGAGCCCTCTAGTGGGGTAATCCAGCCCTGCTATTCCAGCATGCAGTGGCCACTGTAACACCTTTATACCTGCTTGAGATTGAGTTGACCTCATCTGGATGACTGGACCAGCTGCTGAGAACATGACATGTCCACGCATAAGGGCCAAACTCCATCAACACACATACAAAGTAAAGTTGTCAGACGGATTGTGCCACATAAATGAAAAGAGAGATACTTCTTCTCCGTAGTAGTCCACTGTGTTCACCGGTTGGTCTGTGTCTGCCTGCTGCCTCACTGATGAGACTGAACCAAAACAACGAGCTAAAGGACGCTAAAACGCTCGGTAGCAATGGTGCTAACTGAACGCGGGTTTATCACAGAGAGCGACCCCTTTCATATTAGACACATCCTAGTCATTTGACCCATTGTACATATAAAAATATGAATTAATGCAGCTTTAAAATGATTTTCTCCACCTATAAGCAGAGCTGCTACTTAACGTGGCAACGGCTGAGCCGGCAGCTAGAGGCTAACGGCACGCTAACAGTGTAAATAAATGGAAACAGTGAACAGTGTTTACCTGAGGGGGGAACTGGAGGGTTCGGTTAGGAGTTATCAGCTGTAACCGCAGTGTGAGCCAACAAGTGTTCACATGCTTTAGAAGACCGATAATAGTTGTTTGCCGCTCTATATTAATGCTCCGAATGTCGTATATTGCACCTGTAATCCAGCAATTGAGCTAAACTAGTCTTCAGCACCAGCCACATATAAAAGAGGTATCTATTCCCTTCTTAAATAACAATTGTTTCATTATTAGCAGTTTTAAATTACTTAGATTTTACTTTTAGTAATATGCACACATTTAAAAAAAATAGTGACGAATTGCTCTAGATTGTCATCCATTTCATTTGAAATGAATAATAATCTCATATTAATAAGAAGGAAAACGAACTTGTGTGATGCTGACAAATGCAACGTGCGAGGAGGATTATGGAGCGATAAACAGATCCAGGATCCTGAAATCCCTTTCACCTGACAGTTCCTCAGATATAACAAAGACAAACAACAATACTGGAGACAGTCCTGTCCAAGTAGAGAACTACTGTACATGAAGTAGTTAAAACCAGCTGCTCACAGTGATACATATATAAGAATATAATCAGTGACGGGACATCACGAATACTTTTACTTGTAATATCTTAAGTGCCTTTTTAAAATGCAGGATTTATCCTAGTACTTGCTTTACCTCAAGTATTTTTTTTACCTAAGTAAAGGCTCTTCTTCCATCACTGCCCCTGGAGCACGGCCATGTTTGAGACACAGCTGCTTGTCCACCACTGAAACCACATGGTAATAATCACAGGCGAGAGGGGCGGGTACAGCTAAGAACATCCTTTTATTCAATCAAGTAAAGGTGTTGCTCTTTTCAAACTGTTTTTTTTTCTTTATTATTATTATGGAAAAGAAACTGTAATTAACACATGCATTTCACCATGGGCTCTGGGAGGGTGTGTCTGATGGAGGAGGAAGAGGAGGAGGAGGAGGAGGAGCACTCGGAGTGGATAGGGGCCGAGGCTGGCCAGAGGAGCTCAGTCTACGCTAAACACGGCCCAGCATCCTACAAAACGTGTTCAAAACTAACGAAGGAAATTTAAAACATAAAATTTAAAAATAAAACGGCGGACGGTTCGGCCACAAGGTCTGACTGGGCTATTTGAAAGGCGCAGGGGCAGAAACATAGACACCCACTCTCATCAAACACACACACACACTCACACACACTGCCCCGTGCAACCCGTTCATCTCTGCTATGGCTTCTCAAACTGTGGCGCTTTCTCTTGTCAAAGGCTTGATTGATAATACTGCTGCTGGCTTCATTTGCATGATGAATAAAAAAAAATAAAAATAATAATAAAAAAAGTTGCATAGGCCTATATATATATATATAATTGTTTTTCTTTTCTTCACAGGACAAAAAGAAATCTATAAATTGCTTGATTTTGCTGGTGGAATATCCCCGGTGCTTTTCTCTAGAAGTCACCAACAAGGTTGTTTTTTTTCGTACAGCTTTTTGGAAGCGCGTCGCTTTGGTCAATCAAACGCTGCGGTTCAGGATAATGGTGGCGGGTCGATGCGTGGCGTCTCTCGTGATTGTGCTAAATCTGAGCCCTTCAGTCTGCGTGCTGTGGAACTGGTCCGCTTATAAGGTGCTTCAAGTCCTTAAAAAAATTGAATTAAAATAAAACAAATAGCTGGTCACATTCAACCACTAGAAAGGTGCATAATTGAAGGTCTCAACGTAGTAACAATGACAAAAAAAAAGAATAAAAATCCAAATTCAATTACATAAAAAAAAAAAAATAGAAACAAGGATGGCGAACAAACCTGCCTATACTAGCAATACTACTGGTCATCGCTCTCGCGTACGGCCGAACCCAAACGTTCCCATGAGTGCTCTCCTCCCTCCGCCGTGAGGCTGATGTGTCACTGACCGCTGCCGGAGGGGGGGACTATTTCTTTGCTCCGACCCCCCCCCCCCCCGTCCTCAGCACAGCCCAGAGCCCCGTGGTGTAACTTGTTCACTTACATTAGCTGTTGAATGGAGAAGCTGAAGAAGATGGGTATGGTAATACAATGTGAAAGCGTACAGACAAGAATAACATGTGAGCTAACTGCATTCTGCTCAGACAACAAACAAAAAAACAACAAAAAAAAAAAATCTTTGCGTATTCATTTTTTTTTTTCAACCCCGCCGTTCAGAGAAAGGGAGAAAAGGAAGGGGGGGGGGGGGGGGTTACGCGGCTACAGACTACTCCAGTGTCCGAGATAGACAGAAGACAAGATACGGAGGAAGAGAAGCAAGACAGAAAATATCTTCTTTTTTTTATGCTTTTTTTTATGCTTTTCTTAATTATTCAACAATAAAAAGAGGAACTAAATCACACCAATGTCCTTTAGTACTATGTATACTGCTCGTAAAAAGCTCCAAGAAGAGGAAGAGAAAGATATAGAAGTATGAAGGAGGGGGACGTTTGTGTTTTTTGTGTTTTTTTTGTTTCTTTCGAGATGGGCACTCAGGATTACGAGATGGAATCTGTGAACAAAAGGCACTTTTTAGGGACAACCTTTAAGATGCTCTGAGTCTATAACACTACGTCACCAAACATATATTTATAATCATTTACAGTGGGAGATTCGGTG